TCCCTCATCAGAGGGAAATGTAAAAGGCAAGGCGTCTGGCAGGCGAGTTGTAGAGGTGTTTTTGAACATGGAGGCAGCTGCATCTCGAGCTCTATCTAAAGGCCTTTCTCTGCTGTGAGGCTGGGCGGTAACGGCAGGTTTTCTCCTGATTATGGGCAGCCCTCTTAAAAAACAGCCACCCCAAAAAAAAGAGCTTTTCACTGCAAGGCTGAAAAGCTCTTTGGCAACATCACCCAAGTGGCTACGCTTCCTCTCCTTTACCCTCTTCTCTTTACTTCAACTTCCCTTTTTTTCACCCTTTCCAAATCCTCTACTGCCTGCACAGTTTTAGGATCAAATTCCTCTCATCCAGATGGCTCTTTTAAACACTTCAACTCTGCCTCTCGTATTTCATCTCCTCCTCTATGAAGCTGGGTCACATTGAAAGTTTCTTTTTGTTGTTGTGGGATCTGTTTATTTATTCTTCTTTTTACAGCTTCTGATGGAAGAACCAGAAATATCTGCTTAGATTTTCCTTTCAAACAGCAGTTTCCACAATTATTGCAAATGGGCCATAAATACCATCTCATATAATGATATAAGACTGAGCTAGGCTTACAGACAATATTACACATCATTGAGTAAAATTTACATTTTATATACCATTTGAAAAAAAAAAAAAACAGAAAATGGTTTTTATTAGGATTTAAATTAATGTTTTAGGAAAAAAGCTGTCTCCCCTTTTAAATTGCAACTGATGTGCTGCCAGATGTATGAAATCAAGAAATTACTTTAATAGAACCTTTCTGAGACCATGAAGAAGGTTAAATAGATCTCAAACCTAAATCCTGCCCAGCATTTGAAGAAACTAATGAACAGATGGAGAAAAAGAAACATCAATAACGGCCACCACCGAAAAGACACGGCTTAAAACCAACTTTAAACACTCATCTGATTTCTTGAAAAACATGTAGGCTTCAACTATGCGTCAAAACGCAAACTCATAATGTAGAAGCATTGTGGTATTTTAAAGTACTAAAGGGCTATAATACCAGAAAATGCAATTTTTAATGAAAATGATTACATTTAATAGTTTCATTCATTAAGCTGCAATCAGCTCTTTTAAAGACTTGATGATCTCAAGGGTCCGTAAACAGACAGCTGGATTCCTGACAGTTTGAACTGGAAATTACAACATCTCCAAGCATCTGCTTTCTCCATCCACACTTCTTCCCGGTGGCTGTCATCTTTGTAGGAATGAAGAGTTGCTTCGTATAAACAATTCTGCTCTACTTAATAATTTTCTCGTCATCTATGTTGGATATTAACCTGCCTAAACGATTTGTGAAACAGAGCAAATGGGAACTTGATAAAAATGTTTACATTGTAAATTAACCATAGTTAGGTGTGTTTTACTTTGCTACCTTGTCAGACTCATAACGTTCCCGCAAAACTGAGACACAGTCGAAGATGCGGTTTCAGAGAAGTGTGAGCTTCAGTGTTCCAACTGCTAGACACTGGAAAAACAATCTAGAAATAAGTAAAAAATTCTTAAATTAAGAGTATTTACCCTTAATTTGAGTAGGTAAATGAGACGATTTGCCAATGCAATGAATATTTTAAATCTTAAAATAGGATAATTAGATAAAATGCACTTAAAATAAGACAATGCAACTGTGTTTTCTTATTTTAAATGTAAATTGTCTTGTTCCATTTGCAAAATGTCTCTTTTACTTTCTCAAATTGAGAACAAATTCACACTAATTTTTAAGTGCAGACATATTATATGGCGTCATTTGTTTTTGGCCACACTGTCTTCCCAATCTGATCCGATGTGTTTTAAGAGTTAGTCTGAAGTTAAAGATTAACAATCCATTCCCATTGGTTTGAGACTCCATTTTATGGTGTAAAACAGAAACTGCAAATAAAAGCAAAAAGAGCAAACCTGTTGATGATGATGTCGACAAACCTGGATTGTGTGACACCAGTAATAGAACTAAGCGAGCTTAGATTGTGCACCAACACAATTATCCATCCAATACAAGTGAGTCCACCTTTAAATAACATTAAATAAACAAAAGACTTTGGAGAGACCCCTTCAATCCCATCAGGATGCTTCGACATGACCTGTAACAGCCCCTTCATGCTAAGAAATCCTCCATTAAGGGAGGGGTCAAAATTCCCCTGCGTAATGAAAAAGACTCATTGCCTGTATACTTGATGGCAGCTGTTGTTGCCAAGTGAGGCACAGCTAGTTATTATGCTTAGGGGGTAATTACTTTTTCACACATGGCTGGCTTGGTTTAGATAGATTTTCTTCCCTTAATAAATGATCCTATTTACACAGGTTTCCCTTGTCTGATGTTTAAATTTATTTTATGATCTGCAACATTGAACAATATATTTTTACTTTCATATGATAGGAAGATCAGAATCAGAGCAGTGAGGCAGCAGATGGCTTCATCATAATCTAAACTACAATGCTAAATGTAAGTCAGTAATTCCTCAAAGCTAAACCTATTATTCATTTTGTGAATTGTAATTTGAAAAATATTTTTTTTTAAAGTTCGAGGACTTTTATTTATTGTATTTTTTTTACATCAGCCGCAATCCTTTCTTTCTGTTCTTATATCTAAAGAAACATAACATTAGTTTCCCATCCATACAATATGGAGAATGTTTTTCCATATCTTTCACTTCCCACTATTGTTCCAGGGTCTTATTTAAATACATTTTATTCAATTTATTTGTTCTGCTGTAAGCTGTTATATCAAGTTAAGCTGGTGTGAAACATCTGCCAAACATTGGATGGTTCTGATGTATCCTTGGTTTCCCTCCAATATGTGAAACACAGGACACAGATGTGGCAGAGAAAACAGAAAAATGTCTTTCCATACATCATATCTTGTGTTTTAACTAGATAATTCATAAGGGATAATTGAAATTAAGCTGCCAAAAAAAATACTTAATTTTGATTATTTGATGCTCTCAGAGCAACTGCAGGTTGTATTTCCATTGAAATTACACACTTACAAGGTGTATTTAATAAAAATATATATATATATATGTATAAAGATATTTTTTCAACTATTGTTATGATAAAACTGACTTTTGTAGAAATTTTTAAATAATCTTATGTGTATTGATTAGCAGCCAATAAATGTTTTATAATAACTATGTGTCACAAACAGATCTGCTCTTCTAGAATGTATTTCACACAAAAGTAAGAAATATCAGAACTTTCTTTTAAATGCATTGTAGTAAATATTGTTAATCTGTAGCAACGTGAGCACCACAGGTAAAAAGGTGCGGTTTGGAAAATCTTTGTACATTATGCCCCATTCATATGGAGACCAGGTTTATCCACAAATTTATTTTGTCTTCTAAGCAACTATCGGCTGTTTTGTGTTACTCTTGTGAATGTGAACAATGTCTTTTTTGAAACGATGAATCCATACATCTATCTTTCTCTGTGCAAGGGGACATTTTGTGCATAAACATAAACTCTTTAATCAGCAGAAGAATCAGTATGTTTTGTCTTCTAATCTGTACAGGGGCCTTACAGTTTGTATAAAGGAGTTTGATTCCTCTAGAGCTGTCATCTCATTTCCTACCTGTGAGGAGGTCTTTAAGGTTGCTATCCTTTCTACCTCCCCACACCAGTTTCTCATCAATGTTCTGCCATGTACAGTACTATGCTGCGTAAAAAGGGATGTGAAAACTTTCTGTTCAAGACACATTCACTTAGGCTATGGTGTCTTCTCTACCTTTACGGACACAGTGTCTTACTCCTCTGATGGTTAGATTTCCATATCAGCTGCATGCACCTCTTTATCACTTTATTAGTGTTAACCTCACATGGGTTGACTGCACAAATCCAGTGTTTTTGTCAGCTATTTTGGCAGCGCCATCACTTGGCCTAGCATAAACACTAAAGCATATTCAATTGAAGGAAAAAGATGTAAGCTTTTAAATATTATTTGCAAAAGTATTGAAATATTGTGTCATGCATTTGTTTTTAGCCTTACTGAATAAATACTTTATAGAAGTAACTGATTTGCATATACACAGATTTACCTTTTTTGCCTGTTCCCCTTTACAACAGAGAATGCGTCTGTGCTTTGACAAATATATGCTTTTATCTCTTCTTTTGTACATTAACTCAGTCTAAATAGACTTAAAGTTATAGGTGGAATCCAGTTTCATGTCTGTAAGAGTCTCTGAATAGTTTCCCTCCAGTGTTGTCCTGTTTTTAGGAAACTCAACTTCCTGCTAAAAGTATCCCCATAGCAGGATGCTGCCACTTCCGTGTTTTACCATGGGAATGGTGTTTTGGTGGTGATGTGAAAAATCATGTTCTGTATGAAGACCAAATACTTTACCTTTGTTCTCAGGACTTTCTTCTAGTGCTTTCTTTACTGTATTTCCTACCTGACTTGAGGGAAACAATGAGATTTATACTAGTGAAGTCTGATGGATATTAAGATCTGAAAACATGACATTATTTCACAACCTGACCCTGCTACCTTCCTTCCGATTCTGTCTGCTATGTTCATGGTCTTTGCTATTTGTTCTCAAATGAACCTCTGAGGCCTTCTTAGAACAGCTTCTTTAATGATTAAAATAATTAAGTTTATGGCATCAGTGTAAAGATAACAGAACACAAATGAAGTTTTTTTGTATCAAAGGTAAAAAACAGTTTTAGGGTTTTGTTAATCCAATCTTTTTTGGTCTATTCATTATCGCAATGTTTTATGTCCAATTGTGCAGCATTTTAGTTCTATTCAGGAAATACATCAGAAACAAAACTAACAATTATCCACATGATTTGTCATTTTTAAGTTGAGGATTTCAAACTTTTTGTTTTTGTGTATGTCTGCTTTTGGCGTCAACTTAAGGTGAGCGTTTAGACAACCAAAGAACTTTGGATGAATTGTTGTTATTAAAGTTACTGTATGATTTGGACTCCATTTGGGTTCTGAATGTTCCTGTTGTTGTTCCTGTGTATTGACTGCACTGACCGTTTGCTTTATGTCTGGGATGCCGATGCGAAACACCATCATGGCAATGTGGGTGTCTTCAGATGGCACCGAGTTGGCAGTGCGCTCCTTCAGCCTCCTCTGTTGCTGCTGCTGATTGGCTGCTTGTTGGTGCGTGGGTCCAGGATTGGCTGAATAAGGGTTGGCGGTATGTCCCGGGTTTCCTGGCCTCATCTGTCGATCCCCAGCAGGTCGACCGGACAGTTTGCCGGACTGTCTGTGTCCCTCTCCTCTGCCAATCCGAGACATGCCTCCTCGCCTGACCTCCTCCACCATCTCCTCTTCGGCATCATCCTCCCCCTCCAGCTCACCATTTTCCTCTTCCTCCCCGTCCTCGTCTCGCTCATCCTCTTCCATTTCCTCTTCTTCCTCTTCCTCCTCCTCCTCCTCGTCTTCTGCCCCAGGATAGAGATGTCTGCTGTTGCCCAGCATCCTTTGGTGCTCCTCGTCACTGGACAGGGGGCTGAATGGCATCGTCATGGCGACAAAGAAGGCGGTTCCAGTGGCAACACCATCATTCCCATATAGTCACTAAATGAGAAAAGAAAAAAAATAAAGTTTAACTGTCTGAGACAGTGGTTTCCCAGATTGAGAATGTGGAAATTAAACAAAGAAGAGAGAAGAACAATAATCTGAAGAATCTGATGAAAGGCTTTTAAAGATTTCAACCTTTCATATCCTGCAGTTCAGAAGGCATGATGTCCATACATGCGGTATGTAGACTTCACCAACCAGCTATTCTGGATCAGAACTAAGAGAAATCAGGAGCTTCAAATAACATCAAGAGCAGACCATGTACATCCAAAACCAAATAATGTTTAGGAGCACTCTGTTCCCCACACTGGTGAAGGTTATCAGGCTGTCAGTCTTCCAGGACATGGCAACTCAGTCTAGTTTGGATTCCCTCCCTAAACAGCACTAATCTGAGAAAAGTCTTTGGACAAAGAGTAAAATATCTTCAGCCACAAGAGTACACATCCAGTTTTCTTTGTTTTTTTTCCCACCAGACACTGAAAAGTGGCAGTAAAGTAGTTCTTCATCAATCATATTAAAAGTTTTAAACACAGTGAGAACAGAGATATTTAACATATTCTGGAAAATGCATTTTATTTTATATAACAACTAAGACTAACCTAAACATAACATGTTTCAACAGTTCATAAACTGCTCTGTAGACTCAGTATTTCCTCTTTATCAACCAGTATTACACGGGAGATTATAAATGACTTATTTCTATATAAGAGGCATACCTTGTTACATTTTCAGAATTATTATTCTTGGAATAAATGGCTGTTTGGAACAAAATCTGTGATGAAAATAGGTTATTCATTGGTCCTGTTTCTCTGAC